GGTAATAACAGTTGGCTAATGTCGACTTTAGCCGGATAATGTCGACATTATCCAAATGTTAACATTAGAGCTCTTAATACACGTGAATTCACGGAATTCACGTGTCACGTGTTACGTGCACAGTTCAAAATAAAAACGTATATCCTAAACTTAATACTGTACTATTAATATTTTATTAAAACTTCAAGTGTATAACATAAAATTACTAATTTTACCATTGTAAAAATGGATATATATTTTGGATAAACATGTATTTCACGTGTACACGTGAATTCCGTGACACGTGTTTTAAGAGCTCTAGTTAACATTACCCGTAACATATATACAATGATTTACAATTTATAAAGAAAAAGTTCCAAAATTGTTTATTTTCCACCTATTCAAAATCACATTTGAAATATATTCATCTTAATAAGGTAAAAGGTAGAATAATTATTTTAATGAGTTTGTTCAAAAATGTTGCAACACTTTTACATAATATAACTGATCAACAACGTAACTGATCATAACTCGAAAAGCGTGTTTACCAATTTGAGAATAAATGGTCGACAGTATATTGAAGGTTATGACAATTTTATTTAACAGTAAATCACGTCGATCCGTAAGTACCTAGATGTATATTTAGATCTTTACGCGTTATAAAAGAGCGTGCATACCACGTGTAATTTAAGTTACTTTCACGGAATAATTTAAAACGCGTTTCGTCGCATTTTATTCGGTGATTTTACAGATGACAAAAGAGTTTAAGGTTTTTCGAGTAATTTCTCGGGTTTGAACAGCAAAATAGGTGGCACTACATATGCCAAAAACAGTTAAAACAGTTTAAATATAATAACAGAATGTTTATTATTACAAAATAGTCGTTAGCCGATGACAGACAGGTCACCGACTAGCCAACTGGGCCAGTTTGGTCGTCTGCACGGTTAAATTGCTGTACCGTAGGGACAGCTGTTCGCGTGTCCGAGAAAACTATTTAAAATACGTAACACAAAAGAAGATAAATTTCGCTCGCTAATTATTATTTTTTCCTCGACATGTTATGCTGTGTGTCGAAACAACCATTACATTGATAAAACTTGGTTGTAGAACAAGTAAATAATGTGTCATGGTAACGATAAATTAATACAAACTCAACAAATCTGTGCGATCGGTGAGACGACCACACAGCCGTGGATTTAAAATAAATCAATGTTGTACGCGAACTGCGTAGGTGCGTCGAATGCATGGTTTTCCAACAGAATTATGTTAAAACAATTGACTACCAAGCACTTGAACCAAATATAGTAATGAGACTGTCACTATATTTATATACATCGGACGTGTTGCCGCGAGATAAAAATTTAAAGAGTGTGCTAACACACAACATTTCTCCCGGATATAATCATTAACTTCGAACAGACTACACCTACTACTGAATTCGATTGTAAAATGATTTTCGAGTTCGATAAGTATATTCTGTGTCACCTTAGGCAACTTGTTGGAAAGTATTTATATTTTTTCGGAACCAAAGCTGTTCTCTCTCTTTCACGTAGTAAACACGGGACAGCGTACTGTTGAATGTACATCGAATGTAACTATCGTGACCAGCAAGTAATACAATCGAATTACATGTACGTGCACGAATTAACTGCAATAAAATAGTTTGAAAATTGTGAGCTACATTTGCACACATTTTTTTTGACAAAAATCGATTTAATAATCTAAATATCTGAATACAGTGACGTAAAATATATCACTGTTAATAATAAACGTGATGCACTACGGTTTCGAAAAGTATATATCATAAATATATATATTATATTTATAAAGGCATTTAATTATTTAACCACGAGAGATTGGTCGTTCGATCAAACTTAAAACTTGGTTTTAACCACGTGCAAATAGTGCGTGTGATCTTTAAGCATATTTGCCAAACTCCAGTCTTGGGATTAATCTCGTTCTCATTAGCAAAACTGAAAAAAAAAGGGAATTAAATGGTGCTTGAAATAGCAGTACGATATTAAAGTCAAAGAGCAGATAACTGCGGCTAGTCTTCCTTGAAATTGCCAGAACCGTTTTCGCCCCTAATTCGGTCACGGATTCTGATCTCTGTGCGAATAATAAAAAAATCAAAAAAAATCAGCCCATTATGTACCGCGTCATTATTCCTCCATTATCTCACGGTATGAGGGTGAAACGAAATGTTATTATTCAGCCCTGTACAGAATCATACACATGTACCATATAGTACAATATATATTCACACACGATATGATTATTCGGTGGTATTATTGCATGCATAAATATATATACATGCATATAATGTACCTACGTCTATACTCAGTGCCTTGTGACGTTTTTCGGGGCTTAATGGGTTTTTTTCTTAATGAATGGCCTTTACAGGCTGCTTTTATTTGAAAGCGAATGTAACAGAAATTAATTTTTTAATAACTTTCTTCATTTTCCACGTGCACTCTCTGGAATAATATATTATAAGTACACATACATTTAAAATTTTGCATTCGTTCCAAAATTATTTTATCATTATATGGTTATAATAACGTAATAATTTTTATTCATCTCAAATTTGATAGTAAAAATAATAATAATAATAACAAATATAAATAATGATATTAGAAATAATGATATGAGCTAATCAATCTTATTTTTAAACACACTTTTGATGAGAGAGGGGTCTGTTCAGTTATTGTTAATAATTATTAAATTTAGTAAAATAAAAGATTTTGCTTATAACAAAATATTTAAGTAAAAATTCTAGTAATAATACGAAAAAAATATAAATAAATAGTACTTAAATAATAATGAACATAAGCAATATCATTTATTGATATTAATGATTATTTTTTCAAATATATACTTTTTATAAAATATTTAAACAAAATCTCATAATTTATTAACTTAATAGGTTTAAGTAATTCATATTTTTAAAACTTTGTATTGATAATATTTTTGATACGAAGTAGTAGGTATTACATTTAGGAACCTTAAGAAAATTCTCAATTCTTCCTTTAGAAATAATGCTATGAACTATATATATATGTTAGCGATAATATATATAATACATTATTTTATTAAATAACTAGTTATTCTATAAAATACCAGCATATGCACGTTAATATATAAATTACACGGTTTTACTAGTTAATATATAGAATATCGATTGGGTTTTCGCTAACGAATGACATTTTTATCGTTAGATAGAACACCGGGACTGGATTAGATAAAATACAAAATTTGTTGCCGTTATCGTTTTATTAAAAAAAACAATAAGATATATTGATGAACCACATCATTCGGCGTAGACTAAACTTATTCGTATGACGTGTACCGCGATTTTACCTATTTGATAATTTTCAGTGTTGTATAGTGCAGTGGTTCTCAACCTTTTTTTGTTCACGGCACACCATTTACATCACAAGTTTTCGCGGTACACCCATGCACTTGACAACAACAAAAACTTTGGCTACGCGTTAAGATATCCAGTTGGGTTAAAAGCGTACAGTTTAATACATATGTATCGTATTATCTGCACAATTAATTGACATTTAACTGTCAGTTTTATCGATCGGTATTTTTAAATATCAGACATTTTTCACGGCACACCTAGTCGATATCTACTATTGATTTTTTATTGTTATTTATAATTTGTTTAAGATTTTAATAATTCTAATAAATTGAAATTTAAAAAAAAAAATTAGTATTTATATTTAATATAATAATCGTTTTAAATACATTAATTAAACCTTTATTTTTAGTTTATAAAATATCTAGTTAATATGTAGAATTACTAGTTGGAATATGTATTTATGGATTCATTCAATACATTAACTGAAATTATCCGTAATTCTATAAAATAACTAGTTATTTTATAAAATTATGAAATTTCATACATTAACGCTAACATATATATATGTAAATCGGGTCATTCTAATGGCATGGACAAATTATAGATATTTTAATTAGACTTGTCTTAAAATTTGACATTCAAGAAGATAAAATTTGATATTAATAATAGTTCAATGAAGTGATTATCGATGTAGGAGGAAATATTTTGGTGTTTACCCAGGTCTTAAAAAAGCTTTTTCTATTTTACATAAAACATTTGTTTGTATCTACTAATAAGTTTACTCCTGTGTGCAATGTGTGCTTAAAAAGATAGTACGATGGATTAATATTGCTGTTATATAAGAAAATTTAAGTCAAAAAGAAATAATAAATAGTCGTGTGTACCTATATATATATATATTTTTTCTTTGTTAAATTCATGATTTAAACTTTTTTCTAATAGCAGCAATCACGGAAGAAGTTCGTAGTGCTTTACATTAATTTAATAAAACAATTATAAATAATATTATTTTAATCTTTGTTTGTCACACGACAAGATATAACACAAAAAAACAATGATTATTGCTTAAGTTGGGCTGCATGGTATGAACTTTAATATTAAGACAGCTCTGCTCACTTGATTGTATAAAATAAAGTGTTAATAATAAATAAGTTTAATATATGGGGCCAACTACAACTCGTATTGTATCCTCAGTACAGTATGAATCACTTTTCTACACAAGTCCTCATCAAAAAATTTGGTTTTTTTCTTAAAATTTGATCAATAATTCATAAATATATATTTTTACACACTTTTTATAACAACGTATACGTTTATAACTATAAGCTTTTAACATAATCATTATTATTTGCTTATGAATAAACCCATTAAGGCGCCGAAGTAAACCGCTTATCGGATGTTTCAAACCGTTTTTTGTGGAATCAATTAGATTAGATTTTAAATAATTAAATCAAATACGATACATTTTTTTTTTTACGGTTAATTATATAACACACCAAGAATAACCGTTAGGCAATCCCGTAACGTTTCGTTCGAAATCGGTAAAATAGCGGGCATTTATTATCACCATTATTGTTACCGTAACTGTGGTTTCCGTGGTATAATCAAGCTCGACACTCGAACGCGCAGTCGCGTAAGTCGTGCGTTAACGTTATCTGTTGACTGTTTGCAAATGGTTCCATGAGTCGTTCTGATTCCACATTAGAACCGTTTGGAATTGCAATTTATGTGTTACTCGAGTTCTTAGCGTCCAGGTAATGTTAACTGTTTGTAACGTGCCCATTTGCGTGTGTTTAACCTTCAAGAATTTGCCCAGCGATCACGTTACATTATTTTCGTATTTGTGTTTAAAACGTTGTTTCTTCTTTCAGATATGGAAAGCAAAGTGTGTAAAGTTACTCAACCCAAGAGAAATCACAGTGACGACGAAGATAACCGCGATGCAAATCATAAAAAGAGACACAGCAGTCGAGATCGCTATTCAACCAGAGATAAATACGATAAGGGTGGCAGACGCAAATATGAAGAATTGAAAGTCGGTGATCCGTACTATTCTGGCGGTACAATTGATGGTAACCGAAAAGATGAAGATGAATCCAGACATAGGAGAAGACATAGAAGTAAAGATCGTCGTGAGAAAGAAAACAGATCGAGAAATGAAGAGAATCAAAAGGATGGACAAATTGGTGCTCCATATTATTCAGGTGGAATAGCAGCGGTTGAACGTGAGAGTGGTGAAGAATCAAGTTGTGATGAGGATGATAAAATTGGACAGCGGTACTATTCCACTGATGCAGCTGATTCTCAGAGGAAGAATAGTGAAAGTTATTGGAATAAGTATGCTAAAAAAGACAAAAAACCAGAGGTATGTATAATATTTAGATTTAAGGTTATATAGCAAGTATATTTATGTATAACTAAATAAATATGAACAATAATTTTTTCAGGATGACAGTGATATTCCTTCACATCAGAAAAAAACTGTTGATTTATTAACATCTAAAACTGGAGGTGCCTATATACCACCAGCTAAATTAAGAATGATGCAAGAAAGTATTACAGATAAATCAAGGTAATTTTTTTTATAGTATATTATGATAACATTTTATGTAAATAAGTGTAGTAAAATATTAGGAAAATTGTATAATACGGAAGTTCATATAATTGTGTAAGAATAAGGTTATAATAATTTTATAGTAATATTCACTATTATCTTTATAAATTATGTATTTTAAATTGAACCAAAGTAAATATAGTAGTTGTCTATAAACTACTGATTGTCCTTGTTGCAATATAACTAACAAATTAAATAAGCTTCTTTTTTATGATCAAAATCAACAAAATAATTCTATAATTTAATACATTTCTCAGCTGTTTACTTGAGAATGTAATTGAAAAATAAAGTATTGAGTTTATTAATAAAAATGCATATTTACCTATTTAATTGTATATATATATATATATATATATATATATATTTTATTTTCATTTGGTCTGAAACTGAATATACTAAAATGTAATTTTAGATTAATTATTTGTTAATAATTTATTTTAGTGCTGCATATCAGAGAATTGCCTGGGAAGCATTGAAAAAGTCAATACATGGTTTAACTAACAAAATTAATGTGGACAATATTGGGAAAGTCACAAGGGACATATTACGTGAAAATATTGTTCGAGGAAGAGGTTTATTATGCAGATCTATTATGCAAGCTCAGTTGGCCTCAACAACCTATACTCATGTTTATGCTGCATTAGTTGCTATTATAAACACAAAAGTAATTTATTCAACATAAAATATTTTATAATATAATTTGTTTATATTATTAGTCTGTTAATTTAAAAATGTTTCTGTATATTTAGTTTCCTAACATAGGAGAGCTCTTATTGACAAGATGTATTGTACAGTTCAAAAGAGCATATCGTCGAAATGAAAAATCTCAATGTTTGGGATCAGTAACATTTATTGCTCATTTGATTAATCAGAGTGTTGTAAGTTTTAATTAATCTAATTTTCATGTTGAATGATTATGATTTTTGTTTATTGATTATTTGTTATTTGTGATGTAGGCCCATGAAATATTGGCTTTAGAGTTATTAACACTATTTGTAGAGAATCCTACTGAAGATTCAATTGAAGTAGCTGTAGCATTTTTAAAAGAGTGTGGTCAAAAAATGAGTCAAGTCAGTAAAAAAGGAATGAATGCTATTTTTGATATGTTACGTAATATTTTACACGATGGACAACTAGATAAGCGGGTAAATATATCTAATATTTTCTCTTTTAGTTACATTTTTGTATAGATTATTTATTAAAGTTATCCTTATGTTATTATAGTTCACTCAAAATAGTATTACATATTTTTAAGTTAAATTTTAACCATACAAAAACCATGTATTGATTCTAGAATATAACTGATAACTGATAAAACCAATATCAATTTGGTTTAACCATGACTAGTTTTGTGCCATTTGCCTTATTAATAATAAACTATTTGTATGATTCATATTTTATGTGTGGCATTATTGATATTTATATTTTATGGATCTGCCTAGTTTTTCAATCTTATTTTTTTTTTTTCGTAACATTTCGTTATTAATTCATTGTTAATCTGAACATAGTATAATACTCAATACTATATTATTTATCAGGTTATGATTATGTTTAATAGTTTGAAAACTTATTCTTCTCCTTTGTCTCTCACAATTAATTGGGGTCGGCCACCCTTGTCCTTAACTTCTACTTGTCTCGATTTTCTACATCCCCTATGCACACAACAACGGCCCTCATATCATTCTTAATCGTATCCAACTATCTCTTTTTTGGTTTTCCTCTTTTCCCTTCAATGTTCATTTTCATAATAGTTTTTAATTGTTTGAAAACATTTATATATTAAAAATTATTTATTTATTTATTTTTGTCCGATTCAAAAATTGTTTATTTATAAGAAAAATTAGATAAATTCAAAATTGATGCATAGATTCTAAGTTATAACTTCCAAATTTGTTATAATTATTATACCTTATGTATAATTTTTTGATTTTTGACAGGTTCAATATATGATAGAAGTAATGTTTCAAATACGTAAAGATGGATTCAAAGATCACCCAGCTGTTATTGAACAACTTGATTTAGTACCTGAAGAGGATCAGTTTACTCATTTATTAACGCTAGACTCTGCTAAAGATCCACAAGATATTCTAAGTATTGATTTATACAATTTTAAACAAAAATATATTTTCATTTTTACATTGAAAACTTTTTGTTGTAGATGTATATAAGTTTGATCCGGATTTTGAAGCTAATGAAGAACGTTACAAATCATTAAGAGCAGAAATATTAGGATCAGACAATGAAGATGATAGTGGCTCTGATTGTGGGGAGGGTGATGATGATGATGATGATGATGAGGATGATGAAGAAAATGACGGTGAAGAAAAAGGTAAAATACTTTTTAATCCATAATATAACCAAATTGAAACTTATACCTTATCTACTTTTAAACAAATTAATTAAATTATACTTACATGATTCAATAATATTATTTATAAACCTAACCTTCAGTTTCTAAATGTGCAGGATTGGAATATTAATATTCAACTATTTTAGATTTTAAGTAAAATGAGGAATATTTGTGTATACAATTTTGATTTTAAGGATTGCTCTGATTATCACAATCATAGGAGGTTCTGATAAGAATTGTAATTTAGTTGGCCTCAAGGAGAGGGAATAATATTAGATTTCCAACAAAACCAAATTTTTATTATAATTTTAACTTGAAAACAAATAATAATCACGGACTTAAAATATTTATTTTCACTTTAAATAATATTAGTTTCAAAATATTTTTACTTTTTTTGAGCTATTATAAAGAAATATGTTTAAATTTTTTTATTTTTTTACTTTTTTTGAAAAATGTTTGATAAAATAACTTTGTTACAACAAAAAGTTTTTAAAGTTTTATATGAAATTCCTTATTAATTTTTTCTCTACATTTTTCTTACTGATTGATGAAAAAAATTATCTTAGTTTACAAATATTTTAAGGGTTTGAAAATTAAATATTGACAAAACGAAAAAATTACAACAATCTATCATATTTTGTAGTTAAAAATTCATTAAACTTCTATTTATTTTTACTTAAAGCATAATAATATTGGATATGAGAATTTTCATTAGATTTTATTTATAACTATAAAGATAAATTAAACCGATGGTAATAATAATTTTATAAATGTTAGATAGGTAATGTCATTTTGAAGATATTGGTATCAAAGTATTATTAAAGACAGATATTTTTTATTTTCCCAGATTGTAATTAGTTATAGTTTGATATCATGGGAAGGAATAATAGCATTTTTATATTTTACGACCCTATGTATTTTTCTTTGCAATAAATAAATCATTACATGTTTAATTTACCTTATTAAAAAATCTAATTCTCTCTTACTATAACTGCTATCTTTAAAAAACAATACAGCAATAACATTCACTCTGTATTTTAACCAACTATGCAGTCTTAATCAACCTGAGATCTTTGTCTATTTTTTTTACTTTAATATTTTCCACTTATATTTCATGTTTTTGTAAATTTTTAATCAAACTTTTTTTTTTTGATTATTCGTTTGTTATTTAATTTTTTTATTATTGTATATTAAATAATTTGTACAAAACAAATTAATATTTATTTGGATTAAAATTTATTCTTACAGATGGGGAAAGTAAAGTAATAATAGATAACACAGAGACAAACATGATATCTCTAAGAAAAACAATTTATTTAACAATACACTCATCCTTGGATTATGAGGAATGTGCTCATAAATTAATGAAAATGCAACTAAAACCTGGACAAGAAATAGAAATGTGTCATATGTTTTTAGATTGCTGTGGTGAACAAAGGACGTATGAAAAATTTTTTGGTCTTTTAGCGCAAGTAAATATTCAATTTAAAATTAAGTTTACTTAGTGATCAATGCAGCATTAAGTGAATAACTAATATATGCATTTTATCTCTGTTTTGTTATTTTTCTTATGGTTGATATAACTGAAAGATTACTTGATTTATACTCTTATGTATCACATGATCTATTGATGTGAAAAGGATCTTAAAAATTAATTTAAATTTGTCATTAAGTCAACATGAAAACTGCTCTGACATTTTTAATTGTATTCATCTAAATTTCTATTTATTAAAATTTAAAAACTGACTGTCAACTTTTTTAAAGCATTGAGGAAAAAAATTAATTGTTTTTTAAATAATTAATAACAATAATAATAAGTAGAGATTTTTTGGGTGCCTGGCAATTAATCAATAGTAGAGTACTCAATATCATAACTAAGATTGCTCTGATCCAAAACCCAGTGTAACATAGAATTTTTATTCAGCTAATACTTGGTTTATAGTACATTTTTTACCTGAAAAATCTTTACTAATAGGTATTATTATAAAAGACTGTTGGTTATTAATTGTTTACATATTCATTGTAAGTGTTTTATCATATTAGATTTCTTATTTTGATAATCACTTCTAAATATTATTTATTGTATTTGTTTTCAGAGATTTTGTCAAATAAATAACGTGTTTATTGAGCCACTACAGAAAATTTTTATTGACAGCTATGCAACTGTTCATCGCTTAGAGACTAACAAACTACGAAATGTTGCCAGATTCTTTGCTCATTTGTTGTTCACAGACTCTATATCATGGGATGTCTTATCAACAATACATCTAAATGAAGAGGAAACTACTTCTTCTAGCAGAATATATATTAAAATTCTATTCCAAGAACTAGCTGAACATATGGGACTTAATAAATTGAATGCTAGAGTTCAGGATCCGTTAGTATAATTTTTGCCTTTTTATTAAGTTTTATGTATATAAATGTATATATATATAATGATTTATGTTAATATTAATACAAATTGAATGATTTCAGGGATTTGAAAACAGCCTTTGAAGGAATTTTTCCTAAAGACAATCCCAAAAATACTAGATTTTCAATTAACTTTTTTACTTCTATTGGTTTGGGTGGTTTAACGTAAGTATTTGTTTATATTCCTAATACTGCTGGAAAGTTTTTATTTTCATAAAACTTTGTAATTTCAGAGATGAACTGCGAGACTTCTTAAAAGAACAACCAAAACAAGTACCAGCCGTTGCTAAAATTATTGATCAACTTTCTGAGTCATCAGATTCTGAAAGTGATAGTAGTTCAAGTAGTTCAAGTAGCAGTAGTAGCAGCAGCAGTGATAGTTCTAGCAGTAGCAGTGACAGTTCAAGTAGTAATAATAGCAGCAAACTTGGTAAATATGTATTAGATCAAGTATTAAATTAAGTTAATTAAGCTTTTATTTAAATATATAATAATTTTTTATTCCTGGATAAGAATAAGTAACATGGGTGGGTTACTTATTTTATAAAATTATTCAAAGCTTTGTTTTTTAAATTAGCAAAATATAATTTTGATATAAATTTTACAAATTGTCATATTTTATTTGACAATAAATTAATATTATTATTAGAGGTGTTCTGGGTAGATTTTTTACCAACAAACTGGGTACCGAGTATTAGCCGAGTACCAATTTCCGTTAAAACTGAGTCCAGGGTACTAATCAATCAATAATTTTTATTAAAACCAAGTCTCGAGTACTAGTCAAGTAATAATTTTTGTTTAAACCAAATCTCGACTACTGGTCGAGTAATAATTTTTGTTAAAACAGTCTTGAGTAATACATAATAATGTCTGTTAAAAGATAAATCTTAGTCAAATTTGTATGGGTGTTTTTCAAATAAAATTAAGAAGTAAAACAAAACCATGGATAAATAATTTAATATTTAAAATTTGTTGATGTTATGATGTAAGAATAAAATTTGCTGTACCTTCTCAGGATGGAGTGTACTTCGTTTAGCTTCATAAACTTACCCGGCTTCTGAAAATGACCTTTCTGAATAAACATTTGATGCAGGAGCAGACAAATATTTTTTGAGTAGCTGCCTATTTCCAATATATGGATATTTGTCATTTTGACAGCTCCACCTACCTAATGGATCATCATTAATGTAAATGGACTTCAAAACTGCAGTAGTTTTCATATTAAGCTACTAAATCTTTGTTGAAATTTGTATAGTCATCTAAATCGGTAAAATTGTTGGACACTGTTTGGATAGAATTATTCGATGGTGCTGTTGTCACTATATCACTGTAAAAGTCCCATAATGATTTTACAACCATTTGATTGTTGATATTTGTTGTTGAAGAAATATCAATAGGAACATAATCAGGTGTGACTGTTAAACTAAGATTGTTGAAGTTTGAAATAGTATTTAAAATTATTTTCTTCACTGCTGGTTTTTTTTCAGGTTTCAAAAACAATAACTTAAATCGTGGATCCAAAAATGTTGCTAGAATAAGGTTATCATTTTTTATTATATTTTCAAATTGCTTCTAGAGTCTACTCAGCATCACATCTTTTATAGTCCCAACTCCAAAATGAACACTACTAGGGTGATTTAAAAATTAATTGAATGACATAATTGCAGTGATAACTTCACTTATTATTGATTTATTAGAACTTATGTGTTTGGTGAGCTCTTCAAATGGTTTTAATAAATTCAATAATGACTCCATTAAAATCTAATCATTCGCATTAAATGTTGGCAGACTTGATGGAGACTCAGATGTGAATATTAACACAGCATTTTTTAAATTAAACAAACTTTCTAGCATATAAAAACTAGAATTTCATCTAAAATTAAAAATATTATTAATTAGATATTTTAAAAATTAATAATGAATGATGGTATAGATAAAATAATAATATATGTATTATACTTAGTGCAAATATCTTGAATAACCTTCTTAGGTTGAATTAATAGATTAATTTGTATTAATTTCAGTTTATCAGTAGATATGATGAGTGATGGAAATAGGTAGAAACTTTTCTGGCGCGAACTAAGAGATCTTTGACTGATTTCTGACTTTTTATAGACTTTGTTACAAGAAGATTAATTGTATGCAAAAAACAATTAATGCTATCTAATGATGCATCATCAACTCCCTTTTTCATATTAGCGCCATTATCACTAAAAACAACATAACAATTATTTACTAGGATAATTTTTCAACAATAAATATTAAATATCAGAGTTATCATTTATCACTGGCAATTAGTTATTACTTAGGGCTTAGTATTAGGCTAAGTATTCCATGCTCTAAGAAAGTACTAAATAATGGAAAAATAAATAATAAATATGAATTTAAAACTGAAACTTTTTAATTAATGTATCCATTAGGTACTATCTCACTCGTACAGAAATTATAAAATGTATTAACTACTAATAATATATATTATATAATATTTAAATATTATAAATAATGGTAAATACCACCAAAATATCAAACCTACAATTACTACAATTATCAAAACTATTAAATATATCTCACCGTATTAATAAATGAATGTTGCCCGCCAAATTCCATTCATTTAATAGTTCTTCTAAAGTATTTTTAATAGTTAAACCAGTGTGTCTTCCGGGAAAGTGTCTTACATTTAAGGTACAATGCTGTTGTTTAAAATCGTCAGAGATCCAGTGACTTGTAAAACTAATAAAACTTTCGTTGTTATAGCAGCAAGTCCAGATATCAAAAGTAACTGACACAGCAGTAACCGTTTCCAGTGTACTCATTATTTTTGTCTTCAACTCAGTATACATTTGAGAAATTACTGTTTCTGTGAAATATTTTTGACCAGGCGTCTAAGAATTTTAATTAATTTATTATTTAATAAATAATATAGGTGATAACTAATAAGCAGAGCTCATAACTTATAGATCTAAAAAAGGTTGTTATAAGCGCCTAAATATGCTCTGAAAATTGTTATAAACGCGCCGTGGGATCGGTGATGCTCGGCGCGGCTCGTCTCTTCCCGATAATTGTCCTCTGTAACACGCGTCAAAGACGATGCGGCTCGTAATACAACCACATGTTATTCCCACGGCGTGTGTATTCAACGCGCCTCAGTCCAATTTTATTGTTTTTTGTACTTTATTTTAATTCAAAATGGAATAGTCAAATGAACTAATTATTGAATGAAGTTTCCATTTTTAAATAATTATTAAATACACTTATTCACTAAAAATTCACAATAGACCTCTACACTTAATGAACTACAGAATTACTATGATTATAAATCGATACTCTGGATTCAAGACGAAAATTCTGTTTAGCAACAGCACGCGCATCGCGCCGCGCTGTGGGATTGTATAGATGCGCTAACGGTCGGCGTGGTATATAGTCGAATAACGCGCCACGTGCCGTGGGATTCCGCATATACGAAAAATCGGAAACGATTGCAAAATGTTAATGAAAAATAATCTGTAAATAATCTGATAATGATGATATCGGAATATCTAGATAATGTCGGAATATCCGAATACTTAGAAACTATAAAAATAAAATACTACAGTACGAGCTATAATTATAATGGTTTTCTTTTAGATGGGATTACGAAGTTTCGGGCGTACACTCTCGCTACGTCGCGCGTCGCCTAAATTCGTATAGGTATTTAAAGTTTCTTCTGATATTATTATATAAGTTATATCGGAAGAAAAATTAATTAACACGAAATTAATTAATATGATTATAATTACGTTATTTTTAAGAAAAAAATGTTTTAGGCTACTAAAAAATTTTTTAAAAAAAATCATGCAAAAATCCAAAAATAAGCGAAAAAATGTAAAATAGCACTTATACTCCGAAATATGCAAAAATATGCAACATAAAATTTTGTATGTAGCTTCTTGGATAAAAAAAATATGCAAATGCTAGAAGTTATGAGCCCTGCTAATAAGTAATAATTAATATTTAATAACAATGACACTTTCCTAATATGGTATCATTGGTATCCAAAAGTGACCAAGTCAGAATATTGGTATATTACATTAGCAAACTTAAGTAAGGTAGGATATTAAACTAGGCTTACTAGGGTCATAATAATTAATATTTACTTAACACATACCTTGTACTGTGGTTTGACAAATGACATAAGTTTATTGAATCCTGAACGTTCAACCATATTGAATGGTTCATTGTCCACACACATCATTTCACCAATGATTTTGTGAATCTCTTTTGATTTAGCATCATTAATATCCCAACAATTCTTTTTGTTTACTGGCTCATAAAGAAACAGCTGTCGTTTTTCGCTTTGAATATTATCCTTAGCTTTAGTTTCTTTTTTTAATTCTTTAAAATAATTAATAAGATAAACAAATAATATAATTAATTATGTCGTAAAACTTATAATATATGTTATAATTAGCTAATTATAATAATTATAAAAATAATTATAATAAATAGTTATTATAACTATTAATTATTAGCTAAAAATAAATAGGTATTTTTTTATTTTGAACCTACTTCAGACGTTAACAATTGGTCAAATAACTTTTTTATGTTTACAATGTTTACATGCAATTTTATTAAGTGTATTAGTATATTAGTATGTAATAATTTATTATTAATTAATATTATTCAGTCCTGTAAAGTATTTGAGTAAAAGTATTCAAACACTTTTTATAGACGATGAAAGATGTGATGCTGAGTAGACTCCACAAGCAATTTGAAAATGTAATAAAAAATGAGAACCTTATTCTAGCAACATTTTTAGACCCACGATTTAAATACTCACAGATATTTATATATATATAGCCAAGTTGCAATAACTCGAAGTTGAAGGGGGATAAAAATTGACTTCGAGATATGTATTATTTGAAATATCTAACTTATTTATAAAGAAAAAATTTTCTAGGGGAATAAAACACAATTCAAGTTGTCAAGTTTTTCGAGTTATCGCGACTCGACCGTATATTAAACTAGATAGTAGACTACTTTTAATAATTGAAGCCTGGCCGTCATGTATAGGTTAGACAATGTTTACAATCTGTTATCAATATAAGTGAATGTATGTGATAGGTACGGCTAGGATTTATATGTATTTCCATGGTTTTTACCTTAGTCCAAATTGGTTTCCAGTATGGCCACGATTTGGCTTATTGTTGATTAAATAGAACTATTTTTTTTTAAATTAGTATAAGATAAAATATTTTGACTCAATTTACATAAATGATGAAAAGTAATTTCCACATTATCTAGATTATCTATCTTTTTAATGATTTTATCTAGATAGTCCGAACACTGCCCTTTAGTAATGTAATTTTTAAAAGTTAAAATTTTTGTTATTAACAGTTAAATACAATATTTATGTTGATTAAAGTAAAATTTGTTTCATTACTTTGTTTATAATATTTGACTAATAAATTTCAAAGAAAATTGGTCAGAATCTACTGTCCTACCTGTAGTATTATTACAACTATAAATTAAAAGATAAATAAAAAAAGTACAATGTAAGATAACAATAATAGTTGATTGACGTTACATGTTAAAGGCTTATTTTTCTTGATTCTTAGGATATATTGCTCGAAATTATAAGGTCTGACTGAGATATTAAATGTCCAATGAAGCTTATACTAGACTATCTATGCATAGATTATTTTCATATAATTTGTAAGTCAATTATTTAATTTGAAAAAAAAAATTCTATATATGAAGCATGTTTTTTAAATACTTGTCCGGTACAGTAAATAGTTGTAATCGTTAAAATAATTCTTATAAGCTTTAAAGATTTATTATAAATTATCATAAACTCTTTATTAATGTTGGGCTATTAATTGATAGTAAAAATATTTAATAATATTAATAAAATTGTGTGTGAATTAATGTCATACAACTATATTTAAAATTTAAAATATTATTATTTTTTTTTTTTTTTAAAAAAAAAAAAGAAAGACAAGAAACCAAAAAAAAAACCAGGAAACAATAAAATTGAAAATCTCTCAAAAAATGAGGATAGAAAGAAGACTGAAACTCCAAGAAAATATGAAGAAAGAAATGAAAATGAAAAATCTAGAAGGTACGAAGAAAAAAAAGATAATGATTTTTCTAGAAAAAATGAAGAAAAAAAAGAAAATTATAGGTCAAGAAGAAATGAAGATAGAAATGACATTGATACATCAAGAAGAAATGACGAGAGAAAAGAAATTGACAAGTTTAAAAGAAACGAAAATGATAAATTTAGAAGGAATGATGATCGAAAAGAAAATGAAAAATCAAGAAGAAATGAAAATGACAAATTCAGGAGACATAATGAAATAAAAGAAATTGATAGATCTACTAATAGAAATGAAAAGGGAAAAGATAATGACAGATCTAGGAGAAATGAAGAAGGAAAAGAAAACGATAAATCTCGAAGAAATGAAGAAGGTAAAGAAAGTGACAGATTTAGAAGAAATGAAGACGGAAAAGAAAACAACAGATCTAGAAGAAACGAAGAAGGGAAAGAAAGTGACAGATCTAGGAAAAATGAAGAAGGAAAAGAGAATGAGCGGTATGGCAAGAGAAATGAAGATGGAAAAGAAAATGATCGATATAGCAAGGTAAATGAAGAAAGAAAAGAAAATGATCGATATAGTAAGATAAAAGAAGAAGGAAAAGGTAATGACAAATCTAGAAGAAAACGATAAAGGATTGAGTCATATTTTTTATACTAATTTTTTAATATTCATAGGTAGTTTGTAAAACATTTTATTATATTCTTTTAAACGTCAAATTATTTGTTTATTGTAAATACTTTCCATCTGTTAATGTTGACTGTATTTAAACATTTATTAAACACATTTTCAGTACTGTCGTTGGTTTTTCATATATTTTAAGTAATGGCAAAATATTGTCGTAAATTGACGGAAAAAATCGGTTTTAATTTGCTTGGGTCATGCGTGGTTGGGAGAAAGTAGGAGCACTCCTTCCGAGATTTTTCATGTTGGTCACAAAACAAGAAGTATTTTTACATAGAGTTTCATATCAAGTACTCAGCGACTATTCGCGCCCCTCTTTTTGAGGACGTTCCTGCGCGTAGTGATTGTCGAGTCGCTAAGTGAACCTAAGTAACCGTACCGAAGTGAACCTCAAACACATTTGGCAATTACTATGAAATCATTTTTTTAATATTTTTAGACAGGATAGCATCTAATAGAGTAAATCTGTGTTGTCGTCAGCTCACATTTTGTTATTGTACCCACTAACAGATGTTCTTCAAATAATTAACACAGTCGATGCTGTAATTAGTAAACACGATACATATCATATGTATTACATATTGTGTACACGGTTAGGTACGATTGTACAGTAAAAAACGTGATACGATGTTAAAAACAGTAATTGAACCCTACCGATTGGTATACGGTACAGTTTGTGTAATAAATATTCATACAGGGCGTAGACGCGTAGTAACTCATTGGGGCCGCTAAAATACGCATTAAATTTAAAAGAAATTGATTAGCGGTGACAGAAGGGCGCAAGGGGTAGCCGGCTGAATACTTTCTGGATTATAGTCTGCATGCTGTCGCGATGTGTAACCATAAATATAGAGGTTATAGAATTAAAAGCGCATGTATTGCTTAACACAAATCTACCCAGTATATGACATTTGGGGGGGGTGCTTAGCCCCCTCCAAAATTATTAAACCGTTTTCGTAGTATAAAATATTAAAATAGATACTTATTTTACAACAATTACCTTGACAACAACAATAACGACCTTGAACTCTAAATAATATTTTTTTTTCCGAAATGTTGTATAATAATTATTATTATATCGTATTATACCTAATCGTTAGGGCCCGGAATTATATGCCCTAAAAACGTACGAAATATGCATGCATTTATGCGATGGTTATCATTCAAATATGCACTCAAAATATGCAAACAAAAATACATGATTATTATTTATTAAATTTATTTAATTTTAAAATGTATACAATTCATTAAATAATTAATATTCAACAAAAAATATACTATATAATATATCAACCGTATTTTATATATTTTATTGGACTGTATGGGACTGTATGTTGAATCGAAATTAAATTATATTTTGAACACTAGCTCATCTAAACAAAAAGTCACAAACGAAAATCAAACAAATCAAGTGGATTTTTATATTTTTAAAGTTAGAGTTACTATCGTATTGGTACTTAAAGCAAACTATCTTATCTTATTATAACATAAAAATCAAATAATATAACTGCACATTACATTTCAGTAAAATGCTAAAATATGTATAATAATTTGAAATGTTCCAAATATGCAAAAATATGCCAAACTTAATTTCGCATACCAACACATTAGATTAAGATGCAGATGTCTGTTTTACCTAACTGCTTTTTAGCTTAATGTATAAAAATATGCAAATGCATACAATTTCGGGCCCTATGATTCGTCATCGATGCGCACCGGCTGACCGTCGCGACGGATTGTTATCGCATTATAGCAATGACAAAAATAGAAATTTCCGATAATCAGATTTTGATGAACATTATTAATTTGCCCGATTGCCAATTCGACCGTTTCGTCTTTCGTGTTGCTTTGTTTGCTGTTGTAAATCCGAAATCGTATATTCGGTCGAATATAATATTAAAATGTAAATGTAACCTACACGTGTCACGTTGTATTTTTCGTTGTTGTTGTGTCTGTATTTTGTAAAACTGTTTATAACTGTGTATAGTGTATAACTGTAACCTGTAGTACTTCAGTAATTTCAATAGTGATTTATTTATTTATTAAAATGTTGAATTGTTTTTGAATTATTTAATATAAAAAAAAAAAACCTAAAGAAACTGTAAAATCTGAAAACGTGTTGCTGACGGAAATTCCTGAAAAAACTGCAGTACAATCCGACTCGTCATCGAATATTGATTTTGATTCTCGGCCTAAAATTAGTGATATAAATGATTTGCGTAATATTAACTCTGGTCCATCACGTCCAATTATGAAGGTAGATATATGTATTAGAGATAAATATTAGCAATATTGCTTAGCTTATTTTTTATTGAAGATATTTGCATGCAAAAACTAGATACAAATTACAGCTAGGTATTTAACACTTACAAATTACAATTAAACTTTGGTCATAAATAATTAGAAACCTAATAAGTAATTATTAAGATATACCTAAATATAATTTTTTACTATTGCAATATTGCATACTTGCTGTTGTTGGTACTATTAAGGTCAGTGGTTAAAGTGGGAAAAATGTTGTGAGGGGACTGTATTCATCAAAAATTGAGGAGCGTTCCCTTACCTAATTCTAAATCTTACCAACCTTTTTTAGGAAACTCATGAGGTCTAAACCTCTTCTGTTACACATATATGTTTATAATAACTTTATTTTCATAGGGTGTAAAAACAAATTTCCCCCAAAGAAAAATAATTCTATACATATACCTGCTCAGTAAAAATAAATTGAAATACATAGTAGGTTATGTTTAAAGAACTTAACTTAAAATTAACAAAACTAAAAAGAGACAATTACTAATCTTACTAGTCGTTGGTCAACGTAGACAGTAACAAATACGTACATTGCACATAAGGTGTGTACTATATATATGAGATAGTATCTATCCTCTATCACAATTTAAAATTTATACTTTTTATAGTTATTCTATTCTGCTTATATTTATTCTAATTAATAGTCGATATCACTATTACTTTAATTTTAGAGCTATGGGTAATAACCGCTCGGAGATCATCTATAGTTAAACACAGCGTCAATTAAATTAACCCATGGTGTAATTATCTACCATTTTTGCTTATCGTTATACCTAAATAATATTTCTCTGAAATTTTTGTCCACTTGTTCAAGTTAATCAAGAAAATAAATTTCATGTAAAGCCGCGTCCAGACCAAGAAACATTTGTCGTCGACTTTGTCAACAATGTCGGCGACAAAATGTTTCTAAAAATGTCACCAACAAAATTTAAAAACAGGCGCGTCCACACCAAAGCAACATATTTGCTAAACATTTGTGAATTAGTCTTGGTGAAAATGTGAAACGAGAAAGACGTTGCTATTGCTGCAGCTGCTTGCGTAATTTTAAGTTTGGAAATGAAAAAGACCTCCAAAAAGAGGTATTGGGTTCGTCCTAGTCTTTTAGCAAAACAAAAGTACAGTGGAAATGATTTAATGACTGATCTTAAACGTGATGACATTGGTCTATCTGGAGAATTGAGGTAAAATTATATTTGTTACAAATTAAAATATCAATTTATCTTTATAATTAATTACTTAAACATTTTCTTATGTAGGTGTAATGGTAGTTTTAAGAACCAGACTTTGCCTTTTTACATTCCCGATAAAATTGACTAATCAAGTTTTTCATTTTTTTTTTCGACTTCTAATTTTTCAGTATTAAGAATTTTTGAAATTTCACACCACGCATCATTTTTTTTAAATTTATTTTTGTACTCGGGTTGAGTTTGGTCCCATAATATTTGTTTTTCATGGTATACTCGTAAATCAATTAGATGACAAACACTTTCTTTCGACCATTCCATTATTTGATAAAAAAAAAAAGTTAAATATCCGTTCAAAAGAAATGTACTGGTTAAAATATGCGATACATACAGACGGACCAGGTGAACTTAAACGGATAACCAAATATGACGTGTATTTATAAATGTTTATCGACAAAATTTTACCGGTCTGGACGTGTCAATACATTATCGGTGACTATGTTTATAAACATTGTCGCCTTTTTCCCGAGTCGAATGGAAAACAAAAATTTGTTGGAGACAATGTCGCCGACACAATTGTTGGTCACAAATTTCAGAAACATTTCTGATTTTTGTCACCAACATTGTCGGCAACACATGTTTCTGACAAATGTTTCTTGGTCTGGACGCGGCTTAATATTGTAATATATAATAAGTATTGTAAATTCAATATTGTATTTTAGTGACCAATGTCATTAAGCGTCCACCTGGATTTTTGGCGACTTAAATTAAAGAGGACGCATAATCTTATTATACTCCGTCCCCCCAACTTTAACCACTGATTAAGGTATACAGAAACATAGAGTGACTATAGTGACTACTACTTTTTAATTATGTTCCAGTCTTATACAATGACAAAATTTGGTCAACAAAACCGTAGTTTTAATGCATCATATTACTAAGAATATTATTAAGAAAAAGGAAAAAACCAAATGACCTTAAAAATTTCATTGTCACTGCTAGTACTAGTGAACAGTACACAGAACCTACACAAAGTGACGTACAGACAACTGAAGATTTCTACAGAATAAATGCGTACTTTGTAATTATTGACACACTAATTACAAAGTTAAAAGGAAGATTTTCGAATGATAGTTTACAAATGGGCATATCTGTTGATAATTTTTTTTCAACTATAATTTGAAGAAACTGAATGTTTTATTGATCATTATCAAGTAATTCTTCAGTTTTAGTTTTATAATAAAAGTCATTAGTACATTTTAACTGTTTTCTTAGATTATTGGATTTATCGAAAATCAATATTCAGTCAGAGATGACCGTAGCAAAAAAACAGCATCTTGCAATTAGGAAATGAAACAAATTATGAAACAATAAAACAAAATATTTTTAAAAGTGTGTTTTTCAACTTATACAAACTACTACAGGTAGCCATAACAATACCAATCAGCTCGTTAAATCAAATTTAATAACTCTTCAATATCTGTATTGAGAACGTTATTGGTATACTTGCTAATAAAAATAGGTTTATTGTACTGAAATAATAAATTATTTATTGTATTATAAATTAATGATTTTTAAAGTGCATAATATATAGTTAGTATTGCGTATTTAGTAGTTT